CTATTCAAGAGATTGTACGGTGTATTGTTTGTTTTGTTCATGTGTTGTGGACAAAAAATGACCACGCCCATTTAGTGATTGCATTATGTACGTAATAGAAACCGCACCCCGAACTTGAGCTTTTGATCCCAATTTTTAAATTGATACATTGTAATATAAACCGCGGTTTATAATAGGACTTTAACGGTAATATGTAGATATATCACTCTACATGGACATGCTGTGTACCAAGGTAGTAATGTTTTTGTTGCACGTTGCCCTCTCCAAAATACACTGTTTAAAATTTCACTAAGACAGATAAATTTTCCGTTGGGCTGATAATAATAAAAACTTTATTTGATCAAGGTATACACCTGATGGCTGATACAAAGATCATAAAACCAAAAATGTAACAATGAAAATTGGTAAATTTTTCCTTTTTTTTGTAGTAGCAGAATGTTGTGTTTTTGTTGTAATTTCTTTGAATGGGAAAAAGATTATTTTAAGTGGTTCTTTAATGCAGCTTTGGTAATGCGTTTGGCAAAGCTGGTAAAATTTCAAACACTGATGAAAATGTTTAATTTTGTAGTTTTCTATGTTGTGATGAAGCAGCTTCACAACTTACAATTCCAATGAACTTTTGATACCTTTAAAATGTTTTAAATTTCTATGACAAGCAAAATTTATAAAAAATTGTCTCACAAAATGAATAAAGCTGTTTAACGCATAATTAAACTTTCGACAACTTTCACAAATTGAAGGTTTTAATTTTTTGCGGATTTTTTTTGAAAATTTTGATCAATACCTTTAGCTGATAATAAATTATGACTATTAAGTTCAACAAAGAAATAAATTTGCTTGTCAATTTTAGCAGGAAAAAATTATATATAAAATTATAGGTTAAAGTAACGGTATTTCAGAGTATTTAAATCTTTTTATTGTGCATATTTTTACGACTTTGGTCACAAAAATAACACTTCAATGCTGGTTTGGCTTACTGGGTTAGTTTGGGGATCCAAAAAAAAAAAAAAAAAAAATTGCAAACAAAATTAGGTGAAAGTAATAAAAGCCAGTGTGGTAAGTTTCAATAATTAAAAGTAGGCGATCGTTGCCGCATGTTGTGTTTGATATGGATCCCATGTGGTGTGTATAAAATTTCGTGTCTATTTACATGAATTTTTAATGCATGTTTCTTAACGACCGTGGTCTTAAAACACTGACTTACAACTGTTTTATCTTTACAGATGGACTACGACCCAGACATTCTAGTGGTGCCAGACAAATGAAATCACCAGATAATATAAGTGGGATGGAAGATATTGTTATGTTACCAGATTTTGGAGAACAGGCGGTTTTACCCCTTGAGACATCTGCTAATAGGTCGAGGTAATAATTACATTTATTAGAATTTACAAATATTTTGAATTGCATGGACATGACGTCTACTCATCAGTCCAATAGTGTTGTGTCCAGAACATGTCACTGTCTGAATTTGTGTGAACTCTGCATATGCATGTATATTGCGTTTTGCCAGAAACCTCTGATATTCCATATTTATGTGACAGGGCTGTAACCATCTTCCTATCAACATGGCATTATTGCAATTTATTGCGTAGAATACTAGGCATAATTTTTCAAACGTTTTTAATCTTTCTTGGTGTCTAAATTACAATTTAATTTAGACTTTTGGTAGTCACTGATGCCTATTCAAGAGTACATTGTTTACTGTGATTAGCATGAATTGGTGAACTCTGTTTCATGAGCTGTTATATTGCCGTAAAAACTGTTAAAAGCTTCTTCAATGCTTGATAAATCTTATGTGCACTTCTATTTTGGGATGTGCTTCTAATAGAACAAATACTGTTTATACACTTCCAGGAGAAACCATCATCCAGCACAACGATATACTACTTAAAAATACAAAAGTACTGTATTTCTGCAGTTACTCGTAAGATGTTGTGATCACACAAAGGAAACTATTTTTCATTTTGTCATTTTTCTCCGTCAAAGATGTTTTTCCAAGACCTCACTATCACAAAAAACACTAAATTAACGCAAATTAGTTAATAATATATACAATAGAGATGATGATGATGATGATGATGATGATGGTGATGATGATTATGTTATATTGTTATGCATATCAGCTATGCTCATGTGCTCATTCTTTTTGTGAGAACACTGATTTTGTATGCAGATTAGTCTGAGGCTTGAAAAATTTTCTTGTTTTCACAAATTATATTAGCATCATACAATGTATGGTATGTTTTTATTTTCAGTACTTTGAAAAGTGTTGATGAGAAGAGTGGCAGTGGTGTAAAAAAGAAGAAACCTAAAGGTAATGTTAACATTTGAATACAAATATTACTACACTAACAATCTAACTAACTTACTATCTAACAATAGCTATAATCACAATCAAACCAGCAGAGTCCTGCCAGGTGAAGCTCCAATCAGCTTCATGCTAGATGCAAATTTCCCGGTATGCAGGAATGTTCAAATAAAAAAAATATTCTCCAATTGAAATGAACTATTGTATTACACTGGAATAAAAACTCATAATTAGCAAGCAAAACAAAATTAACCAATCATTTTTGTAAAATCAAGGTTGACAGTTCAAACTTATGTTGGTGACTTTTTCAGATTCATGCAATACCAATACCGTTTCCATGACATTAGTGTCTATTTCAAAACATTAGATAATGTACAAGTTTCCACTGTAAAACCCTACTACGTTGTCAATTTACAAATATTTACAGCTAAAATAATAGTAACAGTGGAACTATATATTACGGCATAATTTATAAAATTAAAACTTATGTATAACTTCTAATAAAATACTTGGATTGGCGGTGCATACAAAAATAGATGGTTTTATTTCATATTAATTCGCGCACCCATTTTATTTTCAAACGCTAATTTTTAAATGTATCCTTTTAATTCGCGGCATTCAAAACATGTTTAAAATTGTATCCTAATAATTCGCGGGCCAGAATAAAGTGGATAACTCAGAATATATTGCATGAAGACATTAAAAATATACATTTTGTTTGAGTTGTTATGTTATCAGTACTTGGTGTAGCCGCAATCACAGATGATCTCAGTCATCACAGCCTTTCAGTTAGCAAGCAGTTTAGGTTCGGTAAAGATTTGACCTGAAAAAAATCATTCCCCCACGACACTACAGATGTTGGGCAAGATTATTACTTAGTCGATAAATATCCATCAGTCTGCACATCGAGTACGAATTTCCGTGATGGAAAGCTTAGTACAGGGCTTTTTCGTCGCTGGTCCACAGGGTTGCATCGACCATGTGTCCGCCATTATCCTATTATGTCATTTAAGTGAACCGCCCTATGGTGCGTAAATTGACATTTTTGATTGGTTGGGCGATTGACCTCGTGTTACATTATACCGGATTCGGTAAAAAACACAGAGTTAAGTGGTCATGTACGTTCTATAAATCTAACCTTGCACACATAATCTTGTACAGACGTATTTTTTGTCCAAGAAAGACGTTCCTTTTCATTTAACCCCCAGTTAACTCTTCGCGTTCATGGTATTTGTAAGAGTTGAAAGATTTTTTGACAAGTAACTAAACAACAAATGACAAGTAACTATATTGATTTGCGTCAAGCTGGGTGGCCAGAATTTAAATATCAATGCATGAACTCTGGAGGTCATTGCCCAATGCCGCACGTAATTCAAACGCGTGGTTAAAAAAAACTAATTATCATGAAAGCAATACATTACGAAGTTGAAATATTCAGAGCCGGTAGAATATTGTGAACAAATTTGCGTAATTAGAAAAGCAGTGCACTAAGTAAATGACGTTGATATATTCAAAGCCAGTACAGAGTTGCATACAACAAGTTGCGTAATTACAGTACCTTCGGATATAATAACAATTTTACTAGATAGACGTGCGGGACACAAAAGAAAAAAGTTGCTAAGGTAACGCGCCAGTTCAGTGCGTGACTTGAGGTCAAACTTCGATCAACACACACTTGATGTCAGCATCGCTGCGCAGCAAGTTTCGCAAAGAAGTACTGGAAGTTCAGTTGCGTTCCAAAATGATGTCGCTGATCACTCAGTTGTCGCAGCGTGTGTTGTGTCATGTCCATGATGCACCCTGTTTTGACTTTGGCTTGCTTTTCCTTCTTAGTGCATGTTCTTGTTCACGTAAAATGCGACTTCTCGCCAATGTATTGAAACACTTTGAATTTATACTTTGCATGATTATATTTGGTCAACGCGAAACATTATTTTTTCTAAACATTTTCTGAGTTCATTTTTATCAACGCAGGGTTATTTTTCCAGACAAGATGGGCTTCGTAATATCTGCCATAACATCTCCCGGGCGATGCCTAGAAAAATAAAAAAGGGCAGTGCAGCCAGACGGCTACTTTGTAGCCACATGTTTATTGTTTGTTTGTGTACAGAGTGAGCTTTGCCATTTCACCATTTCATTTCAAGTGTAACATGGTGCGTGGTCCTTGACGCAGTGGGTGTTCTCTGCCCGACTATACGCCATGAATGTCGCTAGCCACGAGTCTCAGAGGCACTAAAAAAACGTCCTGTAAGCGTGTTCATTGGAAAACAAAACAAATCACTGATAAATTTATGAAAACAGCTCCTTTTTGAATCGATCTAAAAGTACTCTTTTAATTCGTGCACCAAAAACCAATACTTTTCGTTTTTACGCTATTAATTCGTGCACTTGAAAAAATAATTATTTTTACTACCGCGAATTAATCGAGTTTTTACAGTAGTCTGTGTCAGTGCCGTATTTGATTTCACATGTTTGGTCCAATCTTGTTTATGGTGGACATTATTACTACGCATATGTAAGTTACCAATTTTTTATGGCAGTGCGATCCACCGTATGTTTTCAACGGTCATTCTATAAATTTCTGATTGTATTTATTCTTCTTTTAACATCATAAAAACAAAACTGATACATGAGACAATAGGTAATGAACTGTGAATGTGGGAGGTTGCCCTGTCAGGTGAGCAAGCAAATTGTCCGGTCAAATTGAACAAAACGAGCGAAAAAAAAGTGATCAAAATCTGGAAACTGATGGGAGGTTGGGTGACCTGTAGTTTCCAATTTAAATTTACGTTGACAATCTACAAATACTCACAACTAAGAGCATGTTTTGTTCTGTCAAAAAATGTTAATATCATAGTTAATAGCATCTCTTCATTGTGTCTAGGTCGTATTGTGTCCTCCAGATATATGCAGGGTTTTAACACTACTCTCCCTTCCAAACCTAATGTCACCACCAATAGAGACTCTGAAACTCACTCAAAGGTAAAGTACATTATCTCAGACATGTATAAGTTTTTGTAGCTTTCTTAGATAGTATTTATAAGTGAATTGTGAAAATAAAATATTGATAGTCTAGTTAGTAAAACTACTAACAGTAAATGTATTTTCTGTAACCTCTTCTTTCACTGACCATATTCTATTCAATAATTCAAAGTCAATTTGTCAAATTCACAAAAAATAAACTTATGTAACTATGTGTTCTCATATAGTCATTATTTGAATTTATACTTACAGCAAGTCTCAGAAGTATTGGGGCAGCCAATTTGCAAACTCGCTAGTGAATTGGCTAACTGCTTGGGTTTTGATTAAACATTTGGCTCTTGACTCTTGCTGGCGGCGACTCGTGGTCACGTCTATATTGCATTAGGGAACATAGAATGCTTTTACGTAGCCTGGTACATGTCTGGATTCCCCTGAATGATTTGCTTTGCGAGGTGTGATGTTAAAATAGTTTCTCAGGTGAGCCAGAGAATGGCCACAGTCAGCTGGCGTACAAGTGATAATATGATAAATGTCCACCGATATTTATTACTAAATAGGGGTAGTTATCTTGAACACTGATTAAAACTAAATAAAGAGATAACAGTTTTCACATCCAAACGATTCGTTGGGGTAACCTTAAACCAACTGCTAATAAAATTCGACTTCATGCATCGTGTTTACGTGGACAATCCCTTGTATACGAACACTTCATTACACGAAAAAAATAGAACACTTTCCCTGGTATACTTGAAAGCGAAATCGCCATCCAACTAAAGTATGACCACCTCCTACTGTTATACATGACTTGTATAGATTCACCCAGAGTGGGCGTGACCACAGGACGGCGCCAGCGAGATTCAAAAGCCAACCATTCAGTCAAAACCAAAGCAGTTAGCCAATTTGCTAGCGAGTTTGCAAATTGGCTGCCCCAATACTTCTGAGAATTGCTGTCACTCTGATTTAGGCGTCAGGTTAGATTGCTAGGCCGTCTTTTGCTTCTAAAATAATGTTTTGAAACAGTTGATTTTTCACAGTGAAAAAAATATTCCTGAATAGGCGTCAGTGACTACAAAAAACATAAATTTGACTACCGATGGCCTCCATAAATGATTAAAAAGTTCAAAAAAGGCTGTAATTTCACATTATGACAGTTTTAATTTGCTGTCAGTCATGTGACCTGTTAATGACCAATCAGAAATGGAAACTTCAAGCATGTGAAGTGATATTGTAGATAATTTTACTGAATGTATCTTTTGTTGTACAGATGATGAGGAAAACTGCAACAACTTCCAGTAAAGGACGCCCCGTATCTAAGCTACACACGAAACCAAGGAGATCTTTAGTGACGTCTACACCATTCGCTGGGACGCTCGGTACTATACCAGTCAATTCCCCAATGTTTTCAGGTTTGTGCATGCCATAAGTTTATCCCAATGTATTGTTATACATCTAGCAATTTGGAATTCTGTGCTCAGCTGTATCTGCATTAGTTCATAGCATATTTTGTTTTTGTTTCAACGTTCCTTATTTGGGGTGAACCCTTTCAGAAACTTTGTATGAATTCGTGATAATTGTAGTCACATTTGAACAATTTTCGTGATATGCATGATATGAAATACATGTACCATGACTGAACACGAACCTCATAAACATAAAACATTTTTGTGTCTTTATCTTATTTTAAATTACTACTACAAGGAATACAAAGAATAAGGTTATCTTGAGAATTATGTAAAATATGTACTTAGGCAGCAGAAGACAATCACCCCTATGTTTATGTTACCATAACATTTGACCATAACAAGTGACCTGCACTTCCTATGATATAACTATAAAGCATGTAATGTAAATGTGTCGAAATTGGTGTAGTGCGAGTAGTTAGTGCTAGTAGCACTAATCCGAAAAAGTACTAGATCTAGTGCTAAAATTTCAAAAAATAGTCATCAAATATTTTTTGGGGACTCCGATTTTCATTGAAGTATCTAACTACGCCGACTTTCAACGCCGTCAGTTGGGCCACCCAAGACGAAAGAAACTATTGCAGAATTAACAATAATTAATAATTCTTGCTGAATTAAAAAGTAGACCGCCTGAAATTTCATAAGTGTTACCAAGTGTAATTTTTCAAATACATTTGTTTTTATTTTATTGGTAACGAAAGTATATTCTAAACACAACTGCATTGCGTAGTAGCAAATGATCATGGTTGCGCCATCCAGTCATGCTGCATTTCACAATCATTACTCAGTAGTGATTATAATAACGCACAAAAAATAAATTCGTTGAATTGTTATGAAATTCAAATAAAATTCAACTTAGTTTCTTCGTAAGCAAATGATTCCGATCGCATATAAACACAAGATGCTGTTGGGTATCCACCATGTTTCTTTGCATGACTTGAGCTAACGGGTCAAATCGCTAATTAACCAATCAAAATGCTGGAGGATGCCAATGTGTTTGAATCATCATAGCTCATTTAAATATGTTGAACGCAACACGGAAGAGATTGCTGATGTTGTAGTACGATCTTTTGGCTTGGATTTTGATGGGAAAATGGCATGATTTTTTTTTAAAATAAAAAAAAAGTTGTTTTCAAAAGATGAACTGAGCATTAAAAGAATAAATTAACATTGTTTACAGTGATAACAGCTCTTTGTCCAAACGAAGCTTACCCGTTCACGCTAGTAACAATAAACATGCTCTTGAATAAAAACTTAAATAGTCTATTTTAGGCGTCAGGAAAGATTGAAATGTCCGAAAAATTATGCCAAAATATTTAAAAAAAAAACGTGACCATAAAATATATGCGCATTATGAAACTACGGTCATCATATATGCGCACTGGGTTTGTTTAGCTGTGAAGGGATAAAATACACATTTCACAACCGGAAATTAAACTTGTAAGAATTGGAACTTGTAACTTCACAGATTTCATATGTTAGCAACTGTAACAAGAACAAGATTTCGTGAGTCTACAACAAACAATCCTAAGAATCCTAAAAAATATTATTGCTGAGAAAGTGTCTGGACATATATTATATGGTCACGTTAAAAAATCGACGAGGTTATATCATATTCCGCTAACTGGTTACTTGTGTAAGCAATCAAAAACTATCATCGACATCAAAGATGAGCAAGACTATGTTCTTATCAGGATTAACCTGGGTTGAAACAAAAGGAAATAAGCCACTTAAAAGGCTTAAATGGCCACTTGAGAGGCGTTGTGGCTCCTTCCATTAGTACCTCCATGGTACAATGTAACAACAGGATTGCGTGAATTCACGTTTACCATTGGTTGATTATGTCCGCAAAGGTCAATGTCATGACAACCAGACAACGGTTCATTTTCTGTCTGGTTCCCAGCGGTACTGAGCAACATACCCATTCACAGGTTGCCGTACACACAAAATCCACCAAGCTTTACAGGGACCCCTCAGCGTTAGAAAAAAAATCAACACTGAATTCCACCATTTACATACAAGTTACAAGTTTACCAACACCAAAGCTGAAAACACAAACTTCCACACAATACCGTTTCATACAGTGTATCTATTCACAATTAAAAATTGAGAAATTGACCTGCAGTTTCACTGTCCGTGGAAGCTAGTTTCCCGACCGATCGCATTGTTTCAAAGGTCTATTACAACAAACATGGACAATGACATTCATGTACATTCTCAATTTTCCCACTGCAGCACATTTCCAATGAATGAAAGATTTTATAGCACTAGATCTCGTGCCGTCTAGCACTAACCACTCGCACTACGCCCATTTCGACACATTTATATACCTCTATAAAGGCTATAAAACACATTGTGTCATTATTATGTATTATTTTTAGGGGATGGTTCCTATTTCCAGCCACCGTCCGCCATAAAGACTGACAGCAAGAAATCAAGACCCAAGTCGAGACAAGCAGGTTTGTATATTGCACACAGTGTGCTAACATGGCTATGATCATGACCATTGCCCAGAACAATAAGCCATCCATAAGTAAATTCATGCAGGGTGTGGAATCAAATTAATGTGCTGTTCCTCAGTTCATAAAACAATGACAGCATTCTTGTCACAGTGGAATTTGCTCTTATTCCAGACCTGTTATTGGACTCTTAAGGTTAATTTATTTATTTTGCAATAAACTGTACTCCAAGGCAGTATAAGAATATTGACCTAAATGAAGTTGGGGGTCACCAGCCTTTTTTTGAGAAATTGATGGTTGTATTTTAGCGAAAACTTACCATTTTGACACTATTATAACATTATATTGTTAATGATGGAGTACTTTTTGTTGTTCTGAATTATTTAAAAATCTGGGTTTTAAAAAGTGTCAAAAAATGCAATTTTTCTTTAATATTGTGTTCTATGGAATTGTTCTAACAATTTTCAAAAAATATTAGGACACGTTCCACAAAACGCATAACTGTAACACACAAAACAATGCTATTTAATTGTACCATGAGACAATAGCTTCATAATTGTACATAATAAACTAATGAACATTGTTATGTGATTTATGACCAATTTTGTCAAAAAATTATAAATAGGCTTCTATTGTGACAATGTTACCCATAATTGTTGTATTAACAGGGACACATACATATATTAATAACAACCACAACAGCAGCAAACAACAGTTTTTTATCTTAGGGTGCAAATAACTGATTTATGCCAACCAGTCACTGTGCATGCATACAAAACTTAAACAAGTGCCATGGCCTGTACATTGATTATACATATGTGTTCTAGAATTGTAATCGAATGAGAGTATTAAAATTGCATTTGGTGCGATTGGTGGGTGGGAATGTCTTTTCCATATTACTGCTGTTAAAACAGATTTATTCTTATGAATAATGAGAACATAATCAACTGAAGTGATTTTTTAAACTGATTAAATTTAAGTGATTTCCCACCAACTGTTTGCAAACGATGTATTCCATTATTATTCTCCAATTCCCTTTTCTGTGGTAATTTGCATAATATTGAACCAAATTAAAAAAAAGCAATCAACATACATTTACAAATGTATGTCAATAACACTTTGCTCTTGGATAATCTACAGGGTTTGGTTGTTATCCATTAGTTTTAATTATTATCCAATTTGCATAATAATTAGCCAATTTTTAACTTATCGACTGATATCCGAATAATCAGGTATGAGATTATAACAATACATATTGGGTAGTCGATGCACATTATTTTTCTTTTGAGATTTGATTCCAGATGGGCAATGGGATGTCTATTTTGTTATTTTCATTATGTTCAGATGTATCTCTGAATCAGCATTAATGTCATTAACATAATCATGTCAAAAACTATTATTCAATGCCATTGATTTTTTTTAGTGGGTTTACCGTCACCAATGGACATCACCTCTAAGACGCCTGCTTCGTTCATAGATGTGGAGGTAGGTTCCAAAGCTTATACCAATTGTGTATTTCCTTATTATTAATGTGTTGCCAAGGTTGTATGGCTACACATTGTTCAGCATAGTCGTGAGAAAATGTAAAATTCTGTTACTGATC